ACTTTAATTTCTACAGTGTGTGTAAGGTCATGAGACGAAGAATCCTATTGATTTTCACCGATTTCCGGTAATTGCTGCCAGAGTTATGACCCTTGATAATTTAAAAATTCTTGTGGACGCTCTAGAGGCTAAAGTTAATCTCCGATTGACTTTAAATTTATACACTGTGTTTAAGGTCATGAGACGAAGACGTCTATTGATTTTCAACGATTTCCAATAATTACTGACAGCGTTATGGCCATTGATCACTTTGAAATATTTTGTGCACGCTCTAGACGCTAAAGTTAATATTCGATCGGCTTTAAATTTATACACAGTGTTTAGGGTCATGAGACAAAGAAGCTTATTGTTTTTCAACGATTTTCGATAATTACTGCCAGAGTTATGGCCCTTGATCACTTTGAAATATCTTGTGAACGCTCTAGATGCTAAAGGTAATATCCGTTTGACTTAAAATTTATAACACAGTGTTTAAGGTCGTGAGATGAAGAGGCCTGTCAATTTTCAACGATTTCCAATGATTATGGTAATTGATATTAAATGTTTTGTATGCTAAATGTTAGAATAGGGCAGAACTAGAAGCCAAATGGGTTGTTACTCGTAATCAGATTTTAGTGTGTTGTAAATGTTTTCATTTCTGACAAATATATATATATATATATATATATATATATATATATATATATATATATGTGTGTGTGCGACAACCCTTGCGTACTCCCTGTACGACTTAGCTGCTGTATGTTTCGTTGCCTGGCCAATCCATCTTTTATTTTATTAATATGGTACCAATATCTAAGCTGAGCGCTGTTTTGTCGTTGAGACAAATCCCTGATCGTACATGTATCTGATTTAGAATCATCCAAAATGTCTTCAAGATCAAGAAGACTTCTATAATCATTTCCGATCAATGTCCAGGATATTCTTGATGATTCTAATTTTAGCTGCAATCTAGCATGATGAATCCATAGAGGCTTTTGATTTGACAAACTGAACATCCACCATATCGGCAATAACAGGCGTATTACGTGGAAGATTGAATGTGGCCGTCTGGAAAATGCAACCATCGAGATAAAACGCGCCAAATTGATCATTTTCGCGTGTGCTTCTTTCGGAGCCTTCTGCGGGCTTGTTTTCGGCGTAATAGAAATGGCGATAAGAGAGCACTAATAATACTGAAGTTAAATATGATAAACGTATTGTTGACTGAACAAAGACTTCAACGAGTTCATTTTGAACCATTATCTCGACGTGTTGCCTACCACCTGCCCCGACATATGTCCAATAGAGTGTTAAAATCCCCCATTCTTTCCTCCAGTCCTTTATTTGATCGTTTGTCATGTCGTTATGCCGTGAACGATTACCGAATGAATGAAATAAATACATTCCAGCATTGATAAATCAGCAGATAAAGCTACTTCTATTTTCTAATATCAAGCCAGCTGAAAATTTTGCGAGTTGGGGGCTAATCGCAAATGCCTTCAGATTTCCCAAGTTGCTTTTTTATACAATTTAGACCCCTACCCCCTTTAAACAGCTGTCTAGCCCATAGCGATTGTAATACTTAGAAAAAAAATGAATTAAAGCATCTGTCTGAAATTTTTTTTATTTATTTGATATTATACAGCCGTATCATTCACATATCTCGAAATCCTATTTTCTGAATTAACGCCTACTGGTATACCTTTAAAGTCAAATTATATCGATATTGGAATGAAATGAATGAAGGGGTAATGGAGACGGACATTATTACGTCATGGTATGGGGGACATTTTAAAGGACATCAATGGAATTCCGTCAAGGTTCTTTTACGTGCACGCCATACGGGACCTCGGTTTATCGCCCCACCGAACCTATTGAAATGGAAGAACGGATAGACAACGGAAGAAATATCTTTCGAGTTGCAGTTACGTTTCAAAATACATGTACTATGTGCTTTTTATGAACACTGCACAAAACGTATATGACAATACAGAAACAAGCGGCAAGAGGTTTTTCTTCTATCTGGGACAATACGAAGCCAAAGTTGCCCAGATTTTATGAAAGAACGATGTTCTCCCGAAATTTGGAGAGAGAGAGAAATAGGGTTTAGCGTCTACTCGACACAATCTAGGTCATTTTGGGACTAACACATGGTTCAATTTTATTTCAATAATTCGCTTGCGCGTAGGGGTCTTTAACAGTGGGAGGAAACCGGAGGACCCGGAGAAAACCCACGATGTTGGACAGGCGACCCTACTCCTTGGGGACAGTGGCGCTACTACCCACTCCTATTTCGAATTCCAGAGAGAGGGAGTGAAATGGGTTTTAACGCCCACTCGACACAATCTAGGTCATTTCGGAACAAACACATGGTTCATTTTTATTTCAATAATTCGCTTGCGCGTAGGGTTCTTTAGCAGTGGGAGGAAACCGGAGGACCCGGAGAAAACCCACGATGTTGGACAGGCGACCCTACTCCTTGTCACGTACAACCGGGGATTCGAAATCCCGCCAGTTGACTCAATGACAGACCGTATGATACAGCGCGCGCGTGCGAACCATTCGGCCATCCAACACCCCCCCCCCCCCAAATTTGGAATATTAACAAGTATAGTATATAAAATAAATGTAGTTAGGAGGCACAAGGTAATTAACATCTGGAAAGTTTTCAATAGATTTAATAAACCACAACAAAAAAACGAATATAATATACAATATTTCACGCTAAAGAAAATAACATGTGGTGTTTTTATGCGAACTTCATGTAATGACCGATGGCATGTGTTTAGTTAATACAAAATAAATTGTGTAAATAGTTGCTAATGTAAAGCTATGGTTCATGTTCTAAAATTCAGAAATTATATTACTGTCGACATCACGGGGTGTCATGGCCGCCACCTCGAGAACCGATGGAAAACAAATAGAGTATTTAAATAAGTTAATTTGGGCAATTTAGGTGCTTAGGTCAAGTTCCATAGAGGTTAATCTTATTACTCAATATGTAAATTTAGACTACTGGCCATTAGTTAATCGTAACCCCATTAACTCCAAAACAACTCGACTAATTTATCATTGCTGTGCATCGTAACGTGGTTGACCCCTATGACATTTAACGGTGTTTAGGATCAGTTTACAAATAATATATAGATACATAGACGTTAAGCCCCCCACTCCCCTTAATCTTCTTTTAAATGAAAAATAAACATTATGATATTAATAATTCAATTCCAAAATCACGTTGTCATATGTTTATACATGTACAGTAAGATATGAATGTCGAAATAAACCCAGGCTATAAAAAAATAGATATAAATTGTCCGTCAATATTACAGGACCCCTGAGAACACTCCCCCCCCCCCCCTTGTTGCTTAGAGCTAGTTACGGCCCTGAATAAACCTAACAGAACGACGCAAATATGAAAATTTTGCCTTTTGCGTACCAGATGCAAGAAATAATCTTTGAATGGCATTTAGAGATTGAAAATAATATAACACAACACAGTTCTATGGATAACAATCACTATATTATAATTATATACAGACGATGCAAGAAAGTACACCGGGGATTGAATTGTTAACTTGTTCAAGGATCAACTTTACAGTATCTTATGTAGGGTCCAGTGGCATTCGCCCATGATAATAGGGTGTTTTCCCTCTCCCAGAAACGGACAACACATGACCATCAATGAAAATAATGTTTGGTGGAATTATTGTGAAGGGAAGCACGTTAAGGTGTCATTTAAAGACCTAACTGCATTTCAGAATCAATGAAAGAAATATTTCGATTGGGCTCCTCCTTGTGGTGAGTTAGCTAAACGCCTTCTTGACAGTATCCACCCTTTATTTATAAATTCGTTTCTCTCCAAAAGATTAAATCGAAATAAATCATCACCGCATGACTTAAAAGCGTCCACAGCATTGTGGTTGTTGCATAATCATCTACCAAGATTCTAAGAATATAATTTTAATATGTAATCTTTACGGGTCTGAGCAGTGGTTAACTTTATTGTATGGTGATATATTAACCTTTTACAGTAACTATATAGCTCATGGCCACCAATGACTTTAATAACGACCTTGCCATGGGCTGACCAAATTACAATGAAGCCCTGTGTTCTCTATTTACCACTAAGCTTAAGGTAGCTCTCTGTTATCGCTTCTAACATGTTGGAGATTTATTAGTTAAATCTCTCTGTGTTCAAATATTAAATAAACATGTCTTAAAGATATCCCAAGAGTTGATTGCAAGGTTAACTTGTTGTTTCATACTAACATCTGTCCGTCTCCCATCTTTGACAGGAGAAAGTGTCTACTTCATCAGGTGATAATGATAAAATGGTCGACTAGAATCAAATTCTCCACCTGGCTTTGAACTTTAACAAAGACTCACTGGTTATATAAATCCCCCAAAATGTGTTCCTTTTGACTTACTCCACATAAAGCCTACATATTTTACCCACAACCAGGCTTTGGCTTCTAAACAGTATGATGTCCCCAAATGAACAAATTGTTCTGACACTCTGGAAAGATTTAAAAGTTCATTGCCTTATATGGTAAAATGGCCAATTTAGCAAAATAGGAGCCACAGTGGCTCAGTAAGAAGAAACTGGCTGACTAACCAGGAGGTTTGTGATTTGCCAATAAAGTTCCGCAGGATTTCCCTTTGTCAGTAATGCAGGACGGAGAGCTTGGCAAGGAAAAGGGCTAGTCATTTGGATGGGATTAAAAATTAATTTGGTACAGTATGCACGTAAAAGAACCCTTGACAATTGGAACTCAATTGCTGTCCAGGTAAAATTTTTCCTCATAGCGCACGGTTTTGCAAATTCTCATCTTAATTAGCCCAGTTGGCCCAGAAAAGTATTTCGACCATTCAGTCTTAAAAATAATCTCAAACAAATGGTGATCCACTTTTATAGCCAGTCAAAACCAGTAAATAAAATCTCAAATTTAGACAATAAAATGTAAGAAAGGTTGCCACTCTAAAAAAAAAAACATTCATACACAACAAACACTCCCTTTAATAATTATATCATTTTATTCCTCAAAATGAGAAGTTTGAACAAATAAAATTAATTTGTCATATGTACACAAACATGTCTAGGTTTCTACAATTCGACCAGACACTTTCATCTGATCATAAGATACAACAACAAAATAGTCTATAGGTTGTTCATAGACAGATGCTGATAGAACAACCTATATTGAATAATGGTCAAATTTATAACCATCTTAATACATGTCTATCAATCTATAGGGTCAGTGTTTTAACACAGTCTACAACAAAAACTTACATCGCTTGTACATGGAATTCCCACAAAATAATAATAATATGTTAAATAATATAATAGATAATAAATGAAAACAACTTTAATGGCTTTTTATAATCTTTCACGTTTTAACAGAAGCCATTTATCTCTCTTTTTATTTAATAATTTAGCACTTGAAGCGTTACACGGAAAGCAACCAAACCCTAAACAAAGTTTGACATCACAGAGAACAAGACTTTTGAAATCAGTGATTAATAAAAACACCTTTCTTGATGAACACACTCCATTATTTGTAATAAACATGTATGTAATAAATAATTCATAACAATATTTCCAACAATTTTTTTTTTCATACATGGTACAATGTGTATTTCTAAATGAATTCCAATTGTGTGGAGTTTAGTTGTAATGCTTGTCCATGTAACAACTTGTGACATTGCCTGTCTATCACAGACACATCATGTTTGATCTTGTAACATTAGCACCTTGTTTATAAAATCATCTAAGTTTTAATAATTCAGTGAATGTTGCTTTCAGTTTCTACATCTACAAATATATATACATATGAAATAATTTCCATATTTCTGATACATGCTTCTAAATTTTGCCCTATTTTTAAGTGTAAATATAGTAATAACAGTAGTTATTATCATTAATATTTCTTTTAGAAAAAGAAAGTTAACTTGGAAGGATGGTTAAAATTTCACACCAGAACTTCTTAGTTTATATATCATTATTCATAGAAATTAGATTAAGAATAATCTAGACTTTTGATACATGTATATCAAAACAAATTTACATTGTATACCCTGTATAATTAACAGTATGATGTTGATTGGAGACAACCCATTTAAACAGCAGATTCTAAAACTTCTAATAATAGTATGCAATAAAAATTTAGTTAATTAAAAGCAATAAAAATCTTTAACAATAATGTGTCAATTAAATAAAATTGAATGTTTCCTTATTAAAAGATTAATTTTCAATTTAAAAATAAGAGCTACAACACTCATTGTGCATTCTTGAAAAGTTAACAATATGTTTACTTGATATCCATAATAAGTAATTAAGTAATCTTCATTAAAAGATACTTCATGGGAAAGTATGAATCTAAAACTATGCGTTAACATAATAATGTTAATAAACTGACAGTAATCATGCCATTATTAAATATATAATTTAAGTACATCAAATGTTTTAATGTTTAGAAGTTACAATATCTAAACCATGGTCTAGGTTAACAAATAAAATCACCAACAGATAAATAGATTAAATAATGGAGGAAATATATTAATTAATTTTAATAATAACTAACGACAGGGAAGTGTCTTCTCTTCTGTCTAACACTGGATTGGAAGAAGGAAATAAAGAGGCTAACTGTAGTAGTAAGCCTATAGATGTGTACATGAAGTTTATCATTCTTTGTGGTTTTGCAGTGTCATTGAGGTTCAAGTTGCATACATGTACATAAAAAATACAATTATTTTAATATACTGTATTATTTGAACTTTTTTTTTTACTGATGAGAGAGTACAATTGTCTTCTGTCGAACATACATGTATTCAGGTTTTATCCATTACATGGTTTTACTGATAAAATTACATTAGTTACTGTATATGTATGTGGTTCACTGGTTGTGTACTAATTATTATACTTATATAGAAATAACTAGATGTAATCAACATCTGGCAGTGATTGACATATTCTCCACACTGCCTATAATCAGCATAATAACATGTACTCACCACTAATCCATGAAAAATACTTTACTCCATGTACACACACATTGATATTACCACCACAGACTAGCTATTTTCATAGGATTCATGCCGAGTTTTATCAAATAAAAAAGATTTCATAATCTACATGTAAGCCTATATGACCAAGCAAACATCATAAATTCAAATAAAGTGCTAAGTCTGCAGGAAAAGTAATACACCTGCTATAAATCTGAGCAGAAAACCCAACCCTTCTGTGATGGCATTTCAACTGGTTTAGAAATCAGCTCATTATTAAGAAACTTTTGATAGAATTATGGAATAACTTGTTTCTTGCATACCCCTTTCAAATTACAAGTTTCATACAATACTGGACAGCTTTACTACTGCTTTATTTTAAAACTTTTTTTCTGAATTAATAGTAGTACTGTACTCACATATTTACATAAAATAGATAGTACTATAACTATTGTTCAGATCCTGAAATATTTTCATCAGTTTAACTGATAATTGGCACATTTGTTTTGTTTTCTTTTTACAAATTTGATCATAGTCCAATATATATCACATTTTAATTAATTGTTTTAGAATAATTCATTCATTGCACATATCATTCAAGGATTGATAAACCCTTTTGTATGCAGGCTTATGTTTTCTCAGAACTTAAGTTACATACCACAATAATGAAATTATAAGATTTCATTTAATAGCAATGTGCTTGAATTACAAATTCAACTTCGCGTATTTACAATTCAAAATCCAAAATATCTTTTAGAATTTTTCTCTTAATAAAATATATGTTTGATAGCTACCATAGAATTTTTGTATGGGTGAGTTATGTTTAAATTAATAATTTAGGGAACATTATCAGCACACTCAAACACATTCATAACGCACAACTCTTTTACTGGTGATCTTGGACCAACACCACACTTTTCATAATTCCTATACAAATAAATACCGGTAGATAAATATATGGAAATAAATAAATTCCCAATTTGTGAGATTACAATCTGTGACAATGTTCCCCAAAAAATCCTGGTAATAGGATAGATTACAAGATTTTAAAGATTAGCTCATGTTTTGGTTAGTGACAGGTAATTGAAGGATACATGTAGGTTAGAATAGAATACAGTTTGAATCTTTTTTTTTCTTTTTTTTTTCCATGTACACGCTACCTTACACATGCAATATGTTATTTACTGCTGTAATCATATTTATATATTCCTAGACATCTTGTCACATGACTGCCAATTCCTTGGCAAATAAAACACAACATAAAAAATAAAAATTCTAGTTTACCAATGGCTGCCAACTGATTTTCGTATTGGATCTCATATTCTTTCATTATCAGATAATAAAACTCACGATGTACATGTATTAACCGTAACTGGTGAGCTGTTATAACTATACATACATAACCAAAATATCACATGGCAATAATACGGCAATTCCATACAGAAAGATATTAACCAGTCGACTGTTGGACTAATGTAATAGAATTATATATATCCATGTATGTATTACTCAGCATATCCTCTTCAACAGATCTGACTTTTTTTTTTACGCATTTAATATAGTATTTTTTTGTTTTTTTTGAAAATTTTCTTTCTATATTTTCATCACCATATATAAGTAACGCCCACCATTATGCTACACAACGGCACTAGAATGAATGGACGTATTCAACTGGTATCAGAGAGTATCAGAACAATTTGAATCATCCATATTGTAACTAAAATTGTTGTTATCTAATCCACAGCCATCACTGCCGCCACTGAGAATGCTGCTATGATCATCGGTATCACTAGGGGAGCTATTATAGCCCAAAATATCGACTTCATCTGCAAAAATAAAAAAGAGAATAATAACTAAAAAATCAGAAGACAGTAAGCATCAATTGAAAATAGAATTAAGTGGCATTAGAGATAATGTCTTTTCAAATGTAACCTCAAGTTTATTTACAATCTATGAAATAAATATTGGTTACAGGCATCCACTATTTTAGTGAGAGTGAGATAATTGAAGGGAGATAACTCACCAGATTCTGAAGTTGAGGTAGTTGAATTTGTAGACGTACTACATTCACTAATACTACGTTCCTGTCTTACCCTGTACTGACCCGCAGTAAGGGATTCCAGTTTGCGCTGTAAATGGCGCCTCTCTCGACGCAAATTTTCTTTTTGGCTTGTTTGCTTTTTTTCTTTATCTTCTAATATCTGGAAAATATCAGATGTTTAACATGTATTAATTATTATAGCATTGAGATTTTGAAACAAAATCTGAAAAGTTTGACCCCAAAATAATGAAGAATTAAAATATAGTAATCCATGTCTTTCTCAAATATCACAAATACTGAAATAGTCCAGCAATCTCATCCAAATCATTTGTGCAGCTCCAAAAGAGTTCATATGATGATTTAGTTTGGTGGGCCTCTATACTGATAGTTTAGGCAAACTACAACTTGCATTGTAGTGTTTATTATGTCGCAAAAGATGTCACTAACGAAACCTTGCCTTACCTAAAATTATGTTATGAAGAAAAAAATGATATTAAATTCCAAGTTTACATGGCAATTACCTTAATAAAGCCTTTGGCTTTTGTTAAGAGACCTAATGTGGTATGCCTGGAGGTATCCTGGCCTAATGGCACTATACTCTTTAATTGTTCTAAGCAATGTCTTAACTGTGCTCTCCTGAAATATGCAATAAAATTCACATGTAAAATACATTAGGTTTCAAGTCTAAAAAGGATTACTTAAAACACTTTATGTCAATAAACTGTATTATTGTCGAAGTAAAAATTTCAGAACAGGTGGAAATTTAGTGTGTTTAGTGAATGAAATAAATTCCCAGAACAACCAGATATTTATTACATTAATTCTTTTAAACTTTCCACAATAGTAATATTATCTACCCTCACAAGCCACCATCATGGTGTGTTCATTCTGTATGAAATCAAACACGATACATGTATGTTCTAAATTCTATTCAATGCATGTTTCATTTAAATCTTTTTTCTAAAGAGCTAGTTTGCGGAGTTTCCAAGTAGAACACATAATGAGCATAGAGAAAGGATTATTAGGGCAGACATTAAGTACTTCAATCATTAAGTGGATAGCCATCTGTATCATTAATACAATTATAATACTGCAGATTCATCTCATAGATTTATACTTCTATTTTTTAAGCTAAAAAAAAGCCCATCCACATCCATTTTGTATAGATATTGAGGGGAGTAAATGACCTAGATTGTTACAAGATAAAGGTGAATGAATTCAAGGCCTGCTGCAGCCCTATGATTAGATAAAAGCTCTGTGAATACTCCACAGTCTAATAGAAAAATCAATAGACTAGAATATCAATCATGTGAACACTTTCCTCCAATAATGAATAGCTTGTCACAAGTATAACTAATGAAATCGACCGACAAAGGACCGAGCTCTATCTTTTGCTTTATTCTTAAACAAAGGTAATTTAAAATGGAAAGTTTTCAGAACATTTATCTAAAATTCATTGCAGCATTTAAACCAGCTTCGGGGACACTGTTAGATAAAAATAAATGCATCTTGGCAATTGAAACCACCAAGGTCAATGTAAATGTTTCCCAAACAACTAACTAACTAAAGCATGATATGTACATGCAGTACATGATTCAACATCGGGATAATATGATGAAATAGTGGCCCTACAGCCGGTACACGTGAGATACACATGGCACGGCTCTGTGGGCTCACAATCACAACATAACACACTTTGACTAGTGACTACACACAATCAATGAGTTTACACATTGATCTAAATTTCTAAGCTTAAGCACTTGCTCACGGTAGTTTGAATCGAAATTTGCTTTATTATTATTGGAAAATATTAGTAGTTTTCTCGACAGGTTAATCTGTTTCAGTTTGACCTAGAAAAATCTATTAATATCTACCCTACAATCCCAGCATACATTGCTCAATGGCCTCAGTGCAGATAAAGCTTCCATACTAATAATAATCTTTCAAGTTTTTGCTGTTCGGTGTAATATGTCTTTTTTTTTTATCCATTCCAGATTACTGCTAAAGAACATAGCAAATTGTCAACATTTGCTAGCTTCCATTGGGCTCTTAACCAAATAAATCTTTCATCAAATTCTGTGCCCTTCTGTCACTTTACCCAAATCAAATGTTTGTAAACACAGAAAAGGCTGACCTACATTCTTAGATATTTAACACTTGATCACAATGCCTGGTAGAAACTCAGATTTTTGAAATATAAACAGATGGGTTGCATTTTCTTCAGTTCACAACAAGGTTACTTATTACAGCTCAAATGTCTGCACTAATTATTTCCATGATCAGAAAAAAATAATTTCCCACAAAAATGAGTAATTCTTAGTTCACTGCAAAATGAATCTGTCAAATCCTGTGGTATGCCAGTTTTCTTTAAATAACCTTATTATTTGTTTGGATTCTGCTAAAATTTCCTTTTTTCCAAACAACACAAATTAAAGAAACATTCAAAATTAAAAAAACACATGTAGTTAGAACTAGTATTCAGTAAAAACAATGTCTTACCTATTTTTCTCCAATTCATTATGTGTTGACCTGCAATCAGAAGACAAATATAGCATTAATCTACGTTCACAAGATTAATTGGATAATCCCATTAAATATGTATCATACTATATAGCATACCGCAATAAACAACAGTCACAATAAAATTTAATAGTAATGTCACAAAAGGAAAAAACTATGTCTACACACATGGCCAATGTTTCAATGGCATGTAGTAATGAAACATAAACAGGGGACACAGTTCCATGGTATACAATTAATGTTTATCACTTAATGAATACAATGACTGAGCAGTGAGCAACGTTTCGACTAGGATATCCTATTCGTATTGATTGCGGGTTAGCCATTTGCAGGAATAAAAATAAACTACAGTTGGCTTACACTAATAATAGAATTATGTTGACAAGAGTGCTTGTCAATTTTTTACTTCCTAATGTATATTTCATGTCTTTTTACAACATTTAAGTGGTGCAGGCCTACACTTGGTTTGCATACCAGTCTTCCATGTTTGATTTATTTTAAGTTTTCATGTACAATGTATAAAAGCATGAGAAATAGGAAATTTAAAAATCCTGGATCACTACGTACTGCTTGATATTTAAGCCTACACCGACTTTTGGTTTGGCACAAACCAAATATCTTAATTCTTGATTATATTTGATTATTTATTGCATTGAAGATAGAATACAAATGAAATGAAATGAAATGGGGTTTAACATGATAGAATACAAAACTCTGTCAATAATAGAAAGGGTTTGCAGGTTTTGAAACACGACATTTTTTGTTTTTATTTTTTTTAGCCTAGACAACAGTATTATTAGGCACTCATTTACTTTCACTGTTTGCCTGGTGTTAATTTTCCGATCAAGAATACTCGCTCATGGCAACTATTCAGAGAAGCAGAAAACATTGTCACATGACATAACAATATTGATAAAAGGATTTTAAAAATGACGTGATCGTAATGTCATTACTCTTGGTTAACTCTACTAATGATTTTGTATATAAGTTTTGTTCACAATTCAAAAGCACAAACAAAATTCTTCGTTGACAAGAAATCGACAGTTACCGTTGGCGCACGCGCCAAAACACATGCAAATAGGTTACTATGTTGCATTGTTCGCTTGTTTGTCGATCTATTCACGAGCTTAGCTCCACTACTAGCACTCGTAACAAAAGTAAAGACATCCTATATTATTCTTCTTAAAATGATTATGCATCCACACATTGAAAATAACCTAATCACATCAGAAATGTCAGATTCATTTGGACAGTCAAAACGCGGCAACAACCTGTCAAACTACTACATTGATCATACCGATCAGTCATGTGGCATTCGTTGAAATTACCGCCTAGAATCATACTCATAGTTTGACAATGATCTTGATATTACCGTTTGTCGTAATCTAGTTTCAAAAAATATATTTCTAAAAATATTTATCATTTCCATTATAACTTGTGTGCTCCACATTGTGAACATCCACATAACCGTGGAGAAATGCTGGTGAATAATCAGCTCTCGCCCAGCCTTGGATGAAAACAACAAATATGGCGGACTCCAGCTTGCCGCATGACTCCTGTCATAACGGAACAAAATTTTTCAACCTTGGCTTTTCTGATGAGAATATCCAAACAATATTGGATGAAAGTTGTTTATGGCAATCTAAAGGATAAATATATACCAAAATTAAAATTTCTGGTGCCAAAAAACCCTCAAAATCAGCCGAGGTAACATGACAGCGAGCAGGCGGGTAAATCAGCTGACAGCTGACCTCATCGTTGCAAAATAAATACCAACAAATTTCTGCAAAGTAGAATGTAGCATACCTATTTCCCTGTGCTTTCTTCCCCTTCGTTCGTTTCTTTGAATATAGATCGGGCATAGGTAAAGTTGATGCATAGCCATGTTCGGCCTCTGAAATGACCAAGAAAATACCTCATGAAAAGCACATTGAGAACTGTCAGTGTCAAAATGGAGCCGATGCAACGTGGCAAAACCGAACAAAATATCGTGTTTTAAGTACAAAATATTTACCTCTTTCTCTTCTTTCAATAAAATCTGCAGCTTGTAGTAATTGTGCAATACTCTGCATTATTAAAATTGGTTGCAAATACCAAAAAATGTGGGAGATTTAATGAAATTAATCCACTCTAACGTTGCCTCCCCGATTGTTTTGGCCCTAAATAAACGCACGTTGAGGCAAGACTAACGCAAGCTTTCGTTTGTTTACCTTCTATTTGAATAATGCAATATAACGAAGCAGCTGATTGGTTGATGACGTCAATTTATATTAATATTAATGTAGGAAGCCATTGGCCAATGAAAAAGTCGAAAAGCAGTAACCACGTGAGTGAGCCACCACGCCTAGAATGTGTTGATATCTCATGACCTCGTGACGATATGCTTTTTAGCACGTTGATATGTGTAGTGGTACTTGTGTTTATGACAATTGCAATGTTATTTCGAGTTGGTCGCTAGTTAATATATTGTTTAAAATGGTTTAATTCGCGATGTAAATGGCAAGATTTTGAGTTTGAGAGAGCGATTCTAAAAGTAGATCACTATTTGTGGGTCGAATCGACCTCAGTGGTTTGTAAACACACATTTTTTCTCTTCTGTTGCGCAGGGTTTATTGGGACACGTTGAATGTGAAGGCCGTTTGCTTCTTCACTGCTGATCTTCGCGAAAATGCAATGAGCAATATGGGAAATGGCCATAGAGGATTGCGGGCTATTGTCATATTAATGCAACGTGATGGGAACGTTAACATTCGAATTCATCTTAATGGAAAGAAAACATATCTAGTTAAAACTGTCAGTGGTAGTCAATATCGAGTGACAAGACATGACACGGGCGTTATCAAATGAATTTTCGTCTCTATTCTGCAGCTTGTAGTTGTTGGTTGTACGCTCCAATTATTTTATTACATGAACAATTTTGCTCAAATTTCAGATTGGATTATTTTGATTTATATACATAACAGGCCCGTTTATTTGTCAGCGCGCGGAATCTAGACTTTACAGCTAATTTTATCTGGGGACTTGTTTATTAAGATATTTATTTGAAATGACAACTTATTATAATGTAGAATCTCGACTAGATTCGCTATAGGTCATAAACTCAACGTGCACGTCAAATAAATAAATTTTATGTCAAGCTGCTGGCCTATTTTTAGCAAAAGACTGAAGTAAGTTTCATTTCACTTGACACGTTAATGTCATATGACATTAAATAAATACGAGCGGTTAAAGTACACTATACATACTATTTATATACTCTAGATGACCGGTTTGAATTGTCCAAGCTCACTTGTCACTAATAGTGTGTCAAGGGTGTGGTTCATGATTTTCGAGTCTCTTTTAAAATAGGTCAAAACTGTTGATCTAAAATGTTATTCAATATAACGCCTCTTCAAGAATAAACCCAAAATACCACCAACATCCACGTATCGAAGGCACCACCCACCCGGCACCCATTTACACATACGAGGCTTCAACCCGTGGCAAAACATACCCCCCCCCCCCCCCTAAAAAGCCTCCCCATATAAACCATGTGTGGGAGACATAAATATCTTGGAAGCCGTTATGTCAGTACAGTTGCGTTTCAATTGTTCCTTGGATATTCCCATTTCCGTGATCAGCCAAGTTGTGATCGGCTTGCTTTTCCATACTGGTATTATTCGCAGGTGTATAGAAATGGGTGCATATCTATTGTTGGAGTTTAGGGGTGTTTACGTGTATCGTGATATAAACAAGCTAACCAACAGCCGTCCAAAATCAAATCGTTAATCATTAATAAAGTGCTTGTGCAAATGCATTTATTAAACTCCCACAAGTGAAGGTATATGTCTACATAGGTACCGTTATACTATTTTACGTCTGCGCACGTTATAACTATAAATAAACATGCTTGGTCAGCCCGCATATTTACAATTGTAAGTATGTATACACCTTTTGAAAGGTGAGTCATGTTATTTGTGTCGCTTACGAAATATAGAAAGATAGATAATCTAATCTCTTGCCATGCGGCTTGTCAGGTATATATTGCTGACGAAATCATATCTGACTACTATTTATACATATAGTATAATTATTACAACGACCCACTGATTAAAAGATAGGTTGCCAGGCAACGAACATACTCCCACAGTGGCTAAATCGTCCGTTTTTCGGTAATGAAACATTTATAATACACTAAAATCGGATTAAGAGTAACAACTCATTAAGTAATTATCAGAAAATCATTAGAATTTCTTTGGTCCATGCTAACGCTTAGTATACAAAACATTTAATATCATGGATTTAGCTTTTCAAATTATCAAAATTCATTGAAAATCAATATACATACTTATTCGTCTCAAAATCCTAAACTATGTGTATCAATCTAATGTCAATCGAAACGATTATAGATAGGCGTAAAATCAGTCAGATGATAACTATGGCCTCTAGAGCGTCCACAGGATTTTTCAACGTGATCAATGGCCATAACTCTGGCAGTAATTATCAGGAATCTTGGAAAATCAGTAGGATTCTTCGTCTCATGACAGTAAACACTGTGTATAAATTTAAAGTCAATCGGATATTAACTTAATCACTTTGAAAGATCCCTTGGTCGCTCTGGGGGCTAAAGATAATATCCGATTGACTTTAAATTTATACACAGTGTTTAAGGTCATTAGACGAAGGCCCCTATATATTATCAAGGATTTCCAATAATTACTGCCAGAGTTATGGCCCTTGATTACTTCGACAAATCTTGCGGATGGTGTACAGGCCAAAGGAATCATTCGATTGATTTTAGAGTGATACACATAATTTAAGGTCTTCGGGTGAACAAGTATATTGATTTTCAATGATATTTGATAACTTGAACAGCCAAATCCATGATATTAAATGTTTTGTATACTAAACGTTAGCATGGGACAGAATTAGAAGCCAAACAAATTCTAATGATTTTCTGATAATTACTTAATGACTTGTTTACTCTTAATCAGATTTTAGTGTTTCATAAAATGTTACATTACCGACAAAAGAAAAATTATGCCACAACTCTTTTTGACTGCCGGACGATTTAGCTGCTGCTGGCGTATGTTTCGTTGTTTGGCAACCTATCTTTTGTTTTCCTCTGGTTTGAGAGATTTAAGATTCATGTTGTGTTTCGTATTGGGCTAATTTTAATATTTTTTACCCCGTGTACAATGTATGACATACCAATAAAACAAACCTTCTTCTTCTATTTTCCATTGGGGGGTTGGATAGCTGAATGGTTAGCGTGCGCGCTGTATCATAAAGTCTGTCATTGAGTCGACTGGCGTGGTTTCGAATCCCCGGTTGTACGTGACAAGGAGTAGGGTCGCCTATCCAACCTCGTGGGTTTTCTCCGGGTCCTCCGGTTTCCTACCACTGCTAAAGACCCCTATGCGCAAGCGAATTATTGAAATAAAATTAAACCATATATTAGTCCCGAAATGACCTAGTTGTGTCGAGTGGACGTTAAACCCCATTCTCTCTCTCTCTCTCTCTCTCCCTCTATTTTGCATTGGGTCATTTAGACGTATGTTCTCAGTAGGTCAAGTAGGCCTTCGGTTAGGTTATTAATAGTGGTCAGCAGTGACCACCTCATAGTGTTTCTCAACAAATATTGATTTGTACAAAGGTTTCCCGGAAGAGCAAGTGACATTACGTAAAAGAACAGTGTACTTATTCTCCCACGACGAAGACCCATTACTCGATCTTTTCTCAGAAATGGTTCTACATCGAAAATGATAAATAATGACATGACAATAAGTTGATATTTATGTACGATGACAGTTGGATTCGGAAATAGTGCCCGCAGGGAATATTATACCCACTTTTGATTTGTAGGATTCTATTTTAGTATATTCAAAAGATATTTTATGTAGGCAGTCATAGTCATGCTTATAGGATTTTTTTTTATTTTGTTGTCGTAATTTATGATTTGAATAAGAATAACGTACTAAATTATGCGTACCTATTATCTATTGTAAAGTCTATATTTAGATATACGTAGGTTAAATTATAATTAGCCACGTCACCAGACAGACGGATATGATGCACTTCTTTGCAGTAAACGTGAACTTAGTTGAGTTTCACGTGATGTGACCGTATATGGCCATCATATAGCGGTGTCTCTATTTATATTGCTTATAAACGCTATAGAAACGTTTCAAGGTGTATATGAAATAAACTTTTTGTTGTTTTATTTCACCTTCACACAACTCACCTTTGAATAGACTGTCGTCGTGTTCTTCTTATAGTATATACCCCGCGGTTTCTACTTTTTCTATTTTAAAATATCCTTGTGACTTTCAAGGAAATGTAATGTAACCTGTATACCCTCTCAGTTGTTTATAACATTTATCATAATTTAAATAAATCATCAACCACCCACCAAGTCTGGGAAGAAAAACGAATGACTGTGAAGGAGACCTGACATAACTAATTTTCAAAATATTAAAGCGATATTGTATGTCTGTGATACCTCTCGGGTGGAAGGGTTTAACGGCCTACTTTTCTGTACCATGAACCGGGCTAATGAAAACGACTATACCTCACGAGGTATAAAGTTAAAACGGACAATGGAATTACAGTCTCGGGTTTTCGTCCCATCGGAACGACTAGACGTAGTTCAATCTTAGTCAACACCAGGATCTAACTCGCGACCTCCTGATTAATGAGCCAAATTATCACACAAATGACGGATGGCTAAACCGACCTGTTAGTTTTGTTTAACTGCGACTCAAATGATAGAAATATACGAGTTAGTCCCAACTTAAATCTATTCGTGTTGATTGATCTTTAATCTCCAGTTTCATTGTAATATATGTCAAACATTTGAGCTTGGATTTTAATAAAAATGTTAATTAATGCACTTTTAAATAAATGACTTGCACACCATTAAGTTTATGATTAACTTGATTAAGTATCTAAAGAAATTGACGCAGAAAGATTGGTGTACATTGATTATTTTTTGTTTTCATTTCGGTTAAACAGAATACAGAAGAATGAATAATTCATCTTCGTGAAGTATGTACGACCATTGGTTTGCACGCATGACCTTACAATAACAAGCCAAATGATTGACAGTTCGGCCTGGGTGACGGCATGATAAGACTTTTCCGCTTGAAAAAGTGAAATGAAGTGGTCAGCAGGCGGTTGACCTATCACTCGTAGATAACTAGTGATAAGTACTTCTCAAATACTTATCTTTGAAGGGG